CCTCCCCCCCTTCCTTATTTTTGCATTGCCGCCTTTATTTGATTGATTTATTTTATTCATTTATTCGTTTATTTATTTTGTAGATGCTCTATTCAAATCAAAGGTACAGCTAGCAAAAGTGTATATTGTGTATAACCATGTAAGAATAGAAATTACTTATTCATGTTCTTTAATTCAAATAATAGTTAATGGTTATTTACGGCGTGACACTGGTATACAAATTGTATAATAAAGCTGTTATTTACAGCTGGACGAGAACGGTTCAAGGCCAGTCTTGCAATGGCCAGTAAAACAAAGGGATAAAAGAATAGGCCATTGCATGTGTACATATGTATAATAATGTTACTAACTTCAATATCGATGTTGAGACAGCAGCAGCTAAAAGCGGATCGAGGAAACTTGGCGGGATGATGTGCGGTACACTTAGGACGATTATCGAAGAAGGGACCGATAGTTTGTTTTATTTTTATTTTTCAATCTCTTTGAAGACACTCAAAGTCTGGGAGTACCGTATATTAATTATTTATCATGCTATTCAACAGGCCTATATATAATTATTATTGTACGTGTGCCTTGCGTCGGTGAAAAAGAAAACAGAATCTGGGGTGAATTTAGTTTCCAATTAGGTTCACATGCAGAAGTTCGGAATTTAAACCGGAACGATGGTTTTTCTGGGGTGCCTTCACAGTCCAGGTTCTGTCCAAATCATCATCATTGCTTTTCTCACCTCGCACCGGGGTATAGGCCACGGACAAACACTTTTCACCTTTCCCTATCCTGGGCTAGCCTCTTGATGTTATTCCATGTCTTCCCACTTTTCTGTACATTCATTTCTGTGATTCTTCTCCAGGTTCCACGCGGTCTTCTACTTGATCTCTTACCCTGTGGATTCCAATCCAAAACTTTCTTTGTTATGCAGCAGTATGAGAGTATGTCCAATCCATCGCCACCGCCTTCTTCCTACCTCATCTCAAACGGGGGACTGTCTTGTTTTCCTTAACACTTCCTCGTTGGTGACCCTGTCCGTCCATCTGATCCTCAGTAACTTTCTTAGACACTTGTTCAAGAAAACATTGATCCTCTTTATGCAAGTCTGTGATGCGTTCCATGTCTCACATCCATACAACAGAACTGACTTCACATTTGAATTGAAAATCCTCAGCTTTGTTCGTAGTGAGATGTCTCTGGTCTTCCAAATCCTATCCGAAGCAGGACTTTATTTCAGCACCTGCCTGTCGAAATGGTCTGTAAATAACGTTTAATTTCAGTATTAAAAAGGAAGAAAAAAATTACCAAACTAAACCCGAACGATAATTCATTTTATGTCTTTTTGTAAAAACAAATTTCACCAGACAGAGTGGTGCAGCAAGCTCCAGACGATCGTAATTTAGATGGCACACAATCAAGTCTTCCCGGAGTCACAGAAATGGCTGAAAGAATACCTCGAAAGTTCGTTGGAACAGTTTGAAAATTTGTTTAACAAAAATGTCATCAGTACCGAGAGTATAAGGTACAGCTGTGGCCTCTGTTTCTAGTTGTTTTTTGCTGTCTTTATTTGTTTTTTTATTTGTTTGTTTATTTGTTTTTTGTACCTCGATTACTTTTGTGGACACGAGGAACTTGTTCTTAAGAATGAATCATCATCAAGCTTTTACTAAAAGCGTTGAATGTTTGACATATAAATAGGCCTATTATGACTGTTTAGTATCATGAATAATTTTTTTTTTAATGATATAAAAAAGGTAACTTACGATATATTCACTGAAACTGGCTGTTCTCTCCTCCCCCCCCC